TTTATTAATAATATTACTTATAGTTATTAATTCTTTATTTATATTATCTGTAATTCTGAGATTGATTATTAAGCTAATTATAAGTTCCAATGAATTTATTTCTAAAAAAATTAAAAAATGATTAGAATGATCAACAAATATGTATTTTTAGAGCAATCATCTATAAATTATTAAAATAATAACTTACTATATATACTCATCTTTCATATTTAACATTTTTTTATGAAATATTCAATATTTAACTACAAAAAATAATAAAACTTAAGAAAATAAGAGCAAGTGTGAGAAAATTTGAAGTTTTAGAAATTCTCAAAGTATATATCAAAGTATAAATCAATGTAGCTAAATCATATTTTCACTCATATATTTTACATTATATGTAAAGATGATACTACAACTAGTTACAACTATATAATACTTATTTATCACCGATTATAACTAGTTGTAACTCAATTTTATTAATATTATAACTAGTTGCAATCTTGTAATACTTATTTATCACCAGTTGTAACTAGTTGCAGCGCTAATTTTAATTATGTGACAGTTAAATTTCATAATTACTGATTATTATATATTTCATATTTATAATTATATTATAATAAGTAAAATTTTAGATAGATTTAATTGGTATATTAAGAAGTCAATGTTATTGCTATATAGATAATTAAAAAGATCATTTTATTCATTTTATTGCTATCGATCATTATGTAAACCTCTAGATGTCAATTTTATTATCTTTGAAAATTATGTAGATTATAAATATTCATTTAGTTATTTACAAATATGATAATTATATTAACATGAATATTTTATTATCTAGCAAAGTAGCAACTTTATTTCCTTCAATATATTTAATTTAGTTTATTTTATTAATTATTCAATATATATAAATATTTCTATATTTCTTTGAGCTTTAGCACTGATGAGATATTAATCTTTTAGGACTGAACTTATATATTATATTAATAAAGAAGTATAATTAATCAAGTATAAAACTTATCTGTCATAACTCTTTGAAACTATTATAATTTATTCGTGATTCTTTTGCATTCATTACAATCTCTTTAATTATTATTAGTAAACTTATTTATGATATTGTATTGATTTACTATATTGATTTAGAATCTTTGAAGTGTAATCTTTGAAATAGCTTTAAATTATCTTTGTGTGTTTTTCTTATATGTTTTATATTAAGAATAATCTTTGATGTTATTGTGAATTCTCATCCATGATTCCTAAAATAATAGTTTTAGTTTTATTTACCCTTTTAAGATTTTAATTGAAGCTACAAAACTATTGTAATAATATCACTTAAAATCTATAACATAAAAATTTGATAATAGTCAAATGATATGTATGGTAATGGACTCTATGGTTATTTAAAATTAAAATCAAAAAATTTAAATATTTTTTATAAAGCTAATTCTAAAATAATAATATATTATTTAAAATATTTAAAATATTTAAATTATATAAATATAATTTTAAATATATAAATATTATATATTTATAAAATTTCAAGTTAAAAATTTGTATATATTTAATAATATATTTTAATAAAATATTAAAAAAAAATTACAAGTTATTATGATTATATGAAAATATTGCTAGAAAAATCAGGTTCTAGGAAATTTTAACAAAAATTTCAATTTTTATATTTTTATTGCATTTTAGTTTTTGATGTATACAGATCTTTAGATCTTAATTTTAATCAAAAAAATCGCAAAACCCGATTTTTCTAGCAATTTTCCATATGTAAAATATAATCATTGATTGAAGAATATGACTAAAATTCAGATAAAATCATTATAATTTAATATGGGACCTTTTGGGAAACTACCAGAAACATAAATAATGAGTCAATGCTAAATCTTTGAAATCATATTTGGCATATAAATTGATTTTATGACTGTTTTCCCTTTACTATTGCAAAGGTCTTATATCTTTTTAAATAATGCATAAAATTAAATATTTATATTTTAGTAAAGGTGATTAATAAAGTAAAATACAGTCAGAACTTGATATAACGAACTCTTGATATAACGATCACTCAATAAATTCTTGTTTAAAAGTTTTTTTTTAAAATTTTTGTTCTATATTAAAACAACTTACGACCCTCACATCAGCCCTTGCCTTCTCCCAAGATAGACTTAGTATTCTAGAAAAAGCCCTTGACATCAAAGTGGTCATTCCAATGGAAGCTGAGGCGTATAATCAAACACTTTCTCTAGAAGTTTCAATCGCAGAAGAGAAAATATTGTTAAACCTATTTATAAATTTTGAATTTAAAATAAGCCGGGAGAGTCGCTATATCGAGTACTGATTGTTCATTTAATTTATTCTCATTTTAAAATTAAATAAATCACATTTAATCACTGAAATTACAGAATTACACAGAATGCGATTAATCAAGACTTTTATGTGATATGATGAAAATTTAATAGTGTTAATTATTTTATTAGCAGGAAGTTTATAATTTTCAACTGAAATTAAATTATTTAATAGCGAAAAACTAATCTAATAAGGTACTACCTCATTCTTCTGCGCTTTATACAATCAGATACGTTTTTTCTTTAAGGTTTCGTTACTATTATCATGAATGCGAAGTAAATTCTAAATGTTATTTTCAACTTTTCTTATCTACCTTATTAACCTCCTTCTCTTTGGGCGAAAACCCATTTTTATAATTAAATTTATTTTTTTAGATGCCTACTACTTTTATGTTTTAAAATACAAAATTGATAGACAGATTCATAAATCATAAATTCGGATATTTTTTGTATAACCATACATTTTTAACATTATCGTCCCTTTTTTTTTTTTTTTTTTAATTTGACACCATTATATGTCACACGACCAACGATAAAATCCATTATTAAAATTTTACACGTTACGTTGACGACCCAGGCTAGTTTAATCATTCTTCGCATTCTTCGCATCTATTTTTGCCGATCAATTAATTTTCTAAACTTGGAAACAATAACCATGTTACAGTTGTCTATAAAAAGGCAAAGATCAATGGAAATCCGTTTATTATAAATTCGTGTTTTGACCTGGTAAGAATGATTTTAAAACCAATCCCGCAGCATCTAGATAAATAATGCAGTTTTTTAGTATTTTTTACTTATTTCTCACATTAAAAAGATAGAAATATGAATGTTAAAATTAAAGTAATGGTATACTTAAAACTCTGACATTATTATTTTATAAAGTTTCAGGATAACGACGTAATAAATCAATCTTATCATGTTGCCTTCTGAAAATCCTTTGGTTCATTTGAATACTGGACGAAGTGTGATCGCTGAAGAATCACTATCTTCTCAAGATATAGAAGATACAAACAGTCCTGGATCCCCAACAACTTGTACAGATCAACAAAATCAAGATTTGAAGACCAACTCTTTTATTTACGATAATGTATCGGATGGTCAACCTATCAATAATAATTCGTTAATTTCCGGATTTAATATTAGTTCGCAATCTGGTTTTGCTTTCAAACAAATTTTGAATTGGAATCTTTCTGCAAATTCGAATCAAGTTGTTAATGAAGCTGGCTCCGAAAATAATAAGAATATTGTTTCTGTGAATGATGATGACGTGGAAAACTTGAATGATTTAGCTGAATTCATTCCAGGATTATACCGTTTATTAGATTTGTGCAAGGATGATGGATCCAACGGATTAGGTACTTAAAATTTTATTAAGGTTTTAATTTGTACTTCAAACGAATCTTAACCTAACTTTAAATGATTATATAATTAGTTGACAAAATTATTATTTCGAAAGAAGGGTTAAAGAATTTGTGTAATGACTATGTTAAAAATAGTTTTAAATCGATCTCAGACATCGATTATAATCAATTGAATTCTTGTACCATGCGATTGATTGGATTTTATGGAAATCATGTTTTAATTGCAAAGTTATTGCTAAACAAAGATATAATCGATCAAAAATTGTAAATGTTCTATTTTGTTTTATGATTATTATCAAGATATATTTACTTAAACTAATTATTTATATACAGATATGAAATGCTGATTCATTCTTCTCAACAAGCTTCTAACATCCAGGAATCTGATAACAAGCTGTCGCTTCGCCCAGGAATTTATTTCTTAAAAATGAATCTTGACTTAGGCTTAGTGATTCATTGGTCGGAATATGGATGTTATGACGATAATGCTTCTTCTCAACGAAAAAAGAATATGATAAATCTTCACAGGTATCTATAACAAATTTTCTTTATGTTATGTAATTTCAAATAACAAACAAATAATAATTAAAAAATTATTTAGATATGTGACAAAATTAACAGATTACCAAATTTGTTTAATGAGCGATCAAGATTTAAATAGTTTTGATTGGGAAAAAGATAATGATGACGAAGTATTAAATTATGATAATAAGATGTGTGTTGAGTTTGAAGTTAAGAAAAGTCAAGAAGAACAAGAGGATTTTAAAGTTTTTAACGGGTTTAACGTACGCTATAGTTTCAAATTAATTAATTTATAAATATGATTTGCGTATTTATTTAAACATATATACATATAATTCAGATTTCCTTGCCAAAGATCATCAAATCAGAAATTGAAAAATCTTATAATGATGAGCTTTATCCAAAAGGTGAGTTTAAAAATTAAATTGTCTTTTTTTATTTATTTTATTTTATCTTATTATTTTATTGTTATTATTATTACTTTGCTTTAAATAAATTTATTAAAAATTTTTTTTTAAAAAATAGTTGTTGAGTCCATTTCATATCAAGCTTTTATTACACAAAACGTAATTCCACCCTTGAATGTCATAAAAACAGGTACTGCCATTATAAATTTCAATAAAGAATTTATGAATCGATGGGGAAAATGTTCTGTGAGAATTGATCGTTCAACTATGAACATGAAAATGCTTGAGATTCTTATAAATTATGGATTAAATATGGATGATTTGAAGGAACAATTAAATCAATATCAAGATGCATTGAAAGAAGCTAAGAAAGAATTGGAATCTAAGAAAGAAAATGAAAGGCTTACTATTCAAGAAGATGCCAAAACTTTAAAAAAGTTAGCTTATAATAAACTTGAAGAATTATATGGGTAAATTTTTTTTTATCATATGTTTATATGTGTTGTTTTTTGTTTAAATTATTAATATATTTTAGACGGCTTGAAGATGACATTCATTTAAGTGAAGTCATTATGATCCCAGATGAAAAATGCAATGAAAAACAAAAAGAACAAGAAATGAATAAAGGTAATAAATAATTTATTTTTAACTTTTATTTATATATTTATGTGATTAATTTTATAATTTTAAAATTTTTCAATTAGATATCGAGATCGAGAAATTCTTTTCAAAGTATTCTGATTTAAAGGTCAAATTCGACGCAGCGTTAATTATTGAATGGCAGCAATTAAAGCGTAGATTTATTTATGGGTCATTATTAATAAGAGAAGTTCAAACACAGGCATCTAATAATGATAAATTAGACATCAATGAAGTGAATGAAGCTATTTGGCAAACAATGTATAACATGTTAACGTATCCTAAAGTTCTTTCATGTTCTCAAATATACAAAGATTATTTTAAACATCTGGGACAAAAATCAATAATGACTCATAAATTTACTTTTGAAATACCTGATAATCAAATTAATGAGTATGATAAGCAAGCAAGTTCTAGTTTCAACTCTTCTGATTCAGAAATCATTGAAAAATTATTCAGTCAAGAATTGTGTCCAAATAATTCAGAACTTAGAAAAAAAATTATAGATCTTTTCAGGAATAGATATAACCAATGGAAGAATAATATATTTTCAAAAGATATTGACAAAATTGAACCAAAATGGACAGACCATAAGAAAAAAATAACGGAAAACCTAGGAGTTGAACATGAGACATTAAAGCGTAATATAGAAAGAAATGCATATGAAATACTATGTTCTTTAATTGAAGCTAGATTTCCCGATGGGTATGTATTGCATTTAAAGATATGATGATTTAATAGCATACTGTCCATATATTATCTTAATTTTTTTATATTTTAACAAATTTGATTCATTTAACATAATTTATCAGTCCTTTATTTAAGATTAAAAATATAAGTAGTAATTCATACATACTATTTCGGAACTTTACGAATTATACGATAAATTATGAGCTCGATACTGTCCAACCAGAAAGATTGCAAATAACGATTTATGAAACTGTGCTTGAACAAGAAGATTGTTTGAAAATTCAAGAAGATGAATTTCATATTCCTAACCCTAAATTATCAACTCGTGCCAATGGAAAATATGGTTATTCTTTCACAATTAATCCCGAAAATGAATTGAGGTAATCATTAAATGTAATTTATTATATTTATTTATTTTATAAATTAATGTAATCTATTTTTAGACATATTTCGAAATTCGATCATCCAAGAATCCCCAAATACTTGGTAATGATTTGGAATAATAAAACGAATGGAATGGAACTTTACTTCAATACTGCACAAGATTTAACGACGTCGATTAGAATTGACAATCCAAAAATGTTTCGAAATTTACAAACAGGTAAAGACTGTCTTATTGCCGTAAATGAATCGAAGGGGTTAATTGCGATATATGATTTTAGTCATGGCAAGGTAAGCACATTTAACATTAAATTATTAAACCATCAAAAAAAGCTTTAAAAATATTTTAAAATTTTAGCTTAATGTATATACCTTTGACGAAGATCAAGTACATCTATATCCACGTAATTCAAATATTCAAATCTTAGGATGGTATAATAATTCTGTTCCAGATATACGACATTTTTTATTTATTAAGGATACTGAGGAGCTATGTTTTGTTGAGAAAAGTGGTCGTGCTAGAATTTATAATCTTGTTAATGGTCAATTTCGAGCGGGCGTTTCTCAATTTCCTTCTGAATCCACCGCTATTTTAAGTACACCTGATGGTGCTTGTATTGTCGCATTTGTAAAAGAGCCACAAAAATCGATTGAATTATTGGATGATGAAAGCGCCCATGTATCTAAATATCAAGAAAACAATCAAATTTCAGAGAAAAATTTTGAATCACCTAAAAAAATAGTTAAAGCATATATATACTTTTGTACTGAGTTTGGAAAACCGGCAAGTAAAGGTGATTATTTGAATTATTTATTATTTAATTGATCATTTCTTCATTTAAATTTTTTTTTTTTTATCTTAGTTATTGACATGCCGCTAAATATGCAATCTTCGGAATTTTTTCAATTTTCAATTTTACATAAGCGCCAAATTCATCTTACAACGTTTGATATTAATAATAGCGTATTTCATTCCGTAATTGTTAAAATAACACTTGAAAAGACGCAATATCGATTTCAACAACTGTCTCGTAAGAAATCACTTGGACAAGTTAAATTTGAATCTATAACGTCGGATAATGATTCCGATGAGTCCATAATAATTGGTAGTAATACTAATTTTACTAGAGATATTAAAGAAGGAGAAAATATTGTTATTATGGGTGAAAGGCATAGAATTACTGAAGTAATTTCTGATGAACGATTAAAATTGGCTGGAAATATTTCTTCCATTTTGGGTATCAAATCATGGCAAGATTTTCGTATTGAACCGAAGGCAAAACTTAATGGGTTTATAGATTCATATAAATTAATGTTTGAAAAGTATCCGATCGATAGTTGTATTGATATTGAACAAAATAGGCCACTTAGTTTACATATTGTTTTAGATGTTTTACATGATAAAGATGTAGACGAATATAGTACGAAATTTGAAGACTACATATTAGATATGTTCAAAGATCTAAAAAGAGAAACAAACAAGCCACAAACTATTTTGAAAAAATTCTCGATATTTGTGACATCATTTCAGGAGTTTGATATCGAAGATTTAATAAACGCAAAAAGAAAAAAGATTGCAAATGTTCAACTTGGTGAATGGATTATACAGTTATCATGTTTAATTCCGATTCAAATTGCCGTAGCGAAAAATAATCAATTCCAACCGTTGCGTGATGGTTTATCAGAAAATGGTCGATTTGGACTTGATGATGGTTATCGTCCTGTAGATAGTATAGCGCGTAACATTTCTTTTGGATGGTATGAGGGGATCCTCAACTATTTTGGAGATCGACAGGTTAAAGTTGTCTCAAGTATGGGTGAGCAGTCTTGTGGAAAGTCATATTTATTAAACCATCTTGTTGGATCGACATTCGATGGATCTGCTATGGTAATTTATTTATAATATTTGATTTAGCTGCATATATATATTTGTAAAAAGTTTATTAATTTGGTTGCTCGATTAGCGTTGCACTGAAGGAGTATGGATGTCATTAGGTAAATTATCATCGTTGATACTTTTCGCGTAATTTTGATTAATGATTTTTTCTCTTTTTTTAAAAAACAGTTATTACTAAAAAATTCATTTATGTCGCACTGGATTTTGAAGGATTAAAATCATTAGAAAGGACTCCACAAGAAGGTTAGTTTTTTGTAGTCATTATTAATTTCCGAATTATAAAATATAAATTTTTATTTACATTATATAGATTTGTTTTTAACTTTACTAAACACAATTGTGTCAAATTTAATTTTATTTAAGGTAATAATGTTTTTTGTTATCGATTTCATTAAATTTGCGATAATCACATCTTACTTTTTTTTTTTATACAGAATCAATTTGCTATCAATCGAGATTTGTCGTCGATGTTCCAAAGATTTCAAGATGGTGCAACGTTGTTTGAAGCGGATTCAAAGATCTTCCAGGCAAGGAATTAAGATTAACGTTGCTATAATAAATGCCATAATATTTATTTTTATTTTATATGATTAGGCAAAGCTTTGTGTCATTATTAAAGATGTTCCGAAAAACGATAGGAGTGATGTTGTTAGAGAATTTTATTCTCGATTTGAACAATTAGTAACAGAGGTATTTTTTGTTTGTCAATAAGTCTTTAATTCGCAAATTATTTATATACTTCCTTAAACTAATAATATTAGGAAGGTGAAGATAACTTTATCACTAAAATGTACAAAGGTGGATTAAATATTATGCCATGGCCAATTTTTAATGATGCTGCTTGGTTCAAAGCACTTACTGAAGTTAAGAGCATCCTTGATGAACAAGAATCAAAATATGAAAATGCTCGAATCTTTTTACAAAATATTAAAGTAATCATGGCAAAATTGAAAGTATGTATCGGTTTCGTTTTTATATTATTTAATCATTAAAATGATAAGATTTTATTCTTTTAAATATAGGTATGTGATTGGGGTTCATTGGATGAAAACTTGGTACAAAATAGAGTATCCACATTAAAAAGATTACTTTACAATGCTGTGTTTTTGGGTATTGAACAAAAGGACCTAACAGTTGTTAATTTAACCGTAAGTTTATCAAATATATATATATATATATTTAAGTTTATTCATTGACGATTAATTTATAAAATTTTATATTGAAGAATCGTGATACTGGAAAGGAAATAGACGATCCAATAATATTTATTTCGGAAATATTTGATGATTTAAGAGAGAAAGAAGCGGAATTAACGCTTGATTCCGAACTTATTCTATTTGAAGAAAATACAAATTTTATTCACCTTTCAACTGATTTAAGAACATATTTTGAAGATAAAATTCAGCTACGCAAGCAAAGTTCTAACGATACTGAATGGTTCAATTCATTGGAAAAATTTTTTAAATATATTATTGATCGTAGAATAGTACGTGTACAAGAATGGTTCAATCAAAATACTATTAGATTTCCTCAAGATAATAGTGATATAGTAATTGCAAATTATACCTTGGAGCAAGAAATTAGCAAACTTACAATTTTTTGGACACTATGTGGACTAACTTGTCAGTCTTGCGGGTTACGTTGTTTGAAAAATAGAGATCATGATAAGGATAATGACAAAGAACATGACTGTTTAACTGATCACCAATGCCATCAGACTTGTCAATTTATTGAATCTCATGCAAATAATTCTGTGCCAATTTGCAGCCATAAGGCAGGACACGAAGGAAAACATGCATGCAACAAAGCTAACCATTTATGTGGAAAACGTTGTCATCTTAGTGAAAAACGAAATTGTCAAAAGATTTGTGCAAAAAAAATTGGACATGAAGACGATAATCATCTTTGTCAATCTAGTCGACATAATTGTGGTGAACCTTGCAGTCTTAATACTCATACAATTAAAGGAAGTTATCAGTGCTCAAACAAATGTATTATACCACATGAAGTAGAACACAATATACATAAATGTGAAAATGAGACGTGTCCAATTCAATGTCCTATTAAAGATTGTCAACGAAGATGCCAAAGCAATGATCATTTTCATGCTTTATCAGGTGTCAACCATTTTTGCGGGTAAGATGATTGTCAATAATCTTTTTCTTTGTCTTTAACTGATAAGTGTATAATCTCTGTTTTATTTTCAGAAATGAACATAAATGTCTCGAGGATTGTGAGCAACCTGGTATCTGTAAAGTACATATAGAACCTCAAAAACAGGAAGAAATATACCAAGGATTAGTTCAAGACACCTCAATTGCATTCACAAAGGTGAACAAATATTACTAAATTAAATAAATCTTATATTAAATTTTTAATATTATTTTTTTTTATTTACATTAATTAGTATATACAATTAAGTGAAAAATTAAAGTGTAGTAAAAAGATTCCTCCCAATGAATTTAAACATGATGGTCCGCATATTCATGATAACTTTCATTTTTGTGATGTTAAATGTCCATTTTGTGAATATTATGTAAGTAAAATTATTTGATCATATATTTTGTTTTAATTTAATTTGATCATAACAATTAAAATATATGTATATTAGTGTACACTACCTTATGGGCACACACAAAAGCACGAAACTAAACATGGAAACATGATTCAAACAGAATTTACTTCTGAGCGTGATGAATTTGAATATGGAGGGTAAGTTTAATATAAAAATTAATTGTCGATAATAAAAATTGAATCAAAATATGTTGACTTAAAAATACAAATCTATGACCTTTAATTAATTGATTATTATTCGTAGACATAAACTAAGAATAGGGGATAAAGGAACATTTTTATTGTGTAATCTGGTAAATAATTATATGATAATTATATTTACTATTATATATATAAATATTTAAAAGAACTATTATACGCATATAGGTTTGTAAAGAATTAGGTCGTCATCGGCATATAGATTATTGTCAAAAAACTTGTAGATTTGGAAATCTAGGACAAGATATAAAACACATTTATGGTATTTTACTCGATATATTATTTATGATCTATATTTTACTATTTTAATAATAATTTATTATAAATTTTGAATTGATTAAAGGCGAAATCAGTCCCAATCCAGAAATGGAAAAGGATTATGTATCTCATCGTTTATTTTGGGAACGTACAGGATTTAAAGGCAAGCAAAGATTTAGAAAAATTAAATTTATGCAAATCTCGTGACTAATTATAATTATTTATTCTCAAATTAAAAAAGATCCTTATTCTTCTCAAGAATTACAGGAATTTGTTAAATGCGATCATGAATGCCGAGATGAAATTCATAACAGGCCACAAGATACTAGTAATACAACATTATTTGCAAAATCTTATTGTGAATTACCACTTTTCCATCTTCCGTTAAAAGAAAACTCGCCACTTCCTAATGGTATGGGTTATATTTCACTTGATGGACATCATTTCACTTGTGAAAATCCAAGTACGCGTGAGGCTGCTTTCCATATTATATTTGCGTTAGATCGTTCAAGTTCAATGAGTAAAGGAGATAAGAAACCCATTGAAAATACTCCTATTTATGAATTTTTAAAGAAGAACCATAATAATAGACTTGGGGCTGTATATAATGCGGTAATTCATTCATTTATTTTAATATAATGGTAATTTTTTTTTATTCATTTACAATTTGTTTTTTTTTTAGGTCTATTCTTTTCTTCATACCCGTTTACAAACAATATCTAAATCGGCTCGTGTTCAAGATACAGTCTCAATTATTCTTTTTGATGAACAAGCAGTCGTACCTTATGTAAATCAAAGCTTAACGGATGCAAATATTATAATGAAAAATTTGGTTCAATATTTTCCAAGTGTAGGAACAAACTTTGATGCAGCGATAGAAAAAGCTGGAAACATAATCGATACGAATTTTGATCCCACAAAGTAAAAAATTTATATTAATTTTAAAATTTTTGAAAAATTTGATGATTAACCTTAATTTTAATTTTATAGAGCAAATATTATTATTTTCTTATCAGATGGAGGATGCGCTATTCCTGAATCAAGACTTAAAAGCATTTGTAAACATAATCAAAGCAAAAAGTAAGTGTTATTAACGATAAATCATAATATACAAATTCGAACTTATTAAACACATGAAATATATTAATGTTAAATTGGCCCCTATTTAGATCTCCATTATATCTTTATACAGTGCTCTTTAGCAGTAGAACTTACAGTTCGTCATTAGAACGAATGGCTAAGGTTGCGCAATCCTATCATCCCCCTAACCCGTCATCCGTTGCATTACGGTGTCAATTTACTCGTGCTATTGATGAAGTTAAATTGGTTGATCATTTTACTAGTGTTGCGGCAAGTTTGAGAAAACATAAACCAGCTTTATTAAAGAGATCGGTTTTGTAAATGTATTATCAATTTGATAAGTTTTGATCATTTAACATTAATGAGGTGGTATTCAAGACATTCGTTCGTTCACGTTCGTCTAAAGAAATAACTTGTAAGGACGTTCTTTATAAATTATTTGATAATTTAAAACTTCTTTACGAACAATGTATTTACATTCTCTAATAAAGTAAATAAATTTACGAATGTCTTAAAAATTATTATGAGTTTCTTTCTCTATTTTAAAACGTTTTATGGTTTATGATTTTCTTTAAAGGATCGGAAAGGATCGGATAAATGCAAATAATTACATACATCAGGATTCCGAAAGATTTTTAGATAGATGCTGTTATGTCACTTCGATAACCTAAATAAAACTTTGAAAGATAAAATTTTACTTGATAATAAATACTCCTTAAAAGAGCGACTCAGAGTACCGACTCTAAATTCGGCATATCTTAGTTTGTTCGAGTTTCTAACCATTTTTACATCGAACCGGAACTGGTTCCGAACCGGCTCGGCTCATCATTAAATTAGATATTTATTTAATTGAAGTTTTAGGAGACTCGAAGCAGAAACTGATGAGAATAGTCCCCATCCCTATCTGTACCTTGAAAGGTGTCGATACATAAAGAAATGCAGGGATATTTATAAACGATATGTAGAAAAATAAAATTATCGGTTAAGAAATAAATTGATCTATGGAAATTTTGCAACCAGTATTTAACTTTCAATTTTCTTTTGTTTTTTTTTTAAAATGATTTCCACTAAAAATTTTTATATATTAGGTAATACTTTAATTATTGAATTTATATTACCTAGAGACTTTAATATGAAATAAAACTTATATAAATAAAACTTTTAAATGCTACTATTCGACAATGATTCTTAATCTCACAAATGTTGACAAATCAGAAACGGTTATAAAATTAAATGAAGAACGTGATGATAAACAAGTTCTTTGAATGTGTTAAACTGCAAGAAGATTAGTAGCATTGTATTAAGAATTATGTATTCGAAACCATTTAAAACAAGCATTTGAAATTGGGACGGTCAGAAATGATGATATTGATAACTTAATACAGAAATGTCAAATAGTAACCCTCGAAATGGTTGAATGAATAACATACAATAATTTAAAGAAAGATTATTGATTATTTTGGTTCTCTGTAATTTATTCGGCCAAATTGATTGGGATATTTAAAAAGGCCAATAATAAAAGACGATTATTGACCGAAAGTTTGATCGATAATAATTCTGATGGTGCATTTTTTAAAACATTTTTTAGTATACAATTTTTTGAATATATTTAACTCTCACCAAAATTAAGTGCTCGATTTTGCGTCCGAAGTTGGGACGTGAAATGACATATATTATAAATATTAAACCATAAAATTTTCTAAATTGTATAGTATTATTAAAAAATTGATTTTCATGGTTTTACCTGGGCGATGATGCCCTGAGGTTCGCTAACGCGACGTGAAAACTTAATTTTTTAAAAATAAATAATATAATTTATTATTTTTTTTTTTTATAAATAATCTATCCTAACTCATCATTGTTGTTCTTATAGAATAATATGGCTCTAAATCTAACGATGTAATTTTTATATTATTTTTTAATTTCAATATACATTTTAATTATTTTAATTTTTAATTTTTTTATGTAACTTATTTACTTATATTCAGTTTTCTTAATTATTTTTCTTTTAATTTTTAATTTTTTTTAGTATAATTTTCTAATTTAAATTTTTTCAATTTAAAATAATTTATCGGATTTAATTTTTTTTTTTTTTTAATTTTAATAATTTTAATTTTTAAATTTGATTTTTTCTTAATTGATTTTATTAATTTGTTTTACGGATGTATTTTTTTTTTAATTCCAAATTTTTAATTTAATATTTTTAATTATTATATCCCCCACCTACTAAAAAATACAAGCTGCAAAGGTACCAATCTATCTAAACCAACAGTTCCAAACAATGCATGGAGAGTGTAATTTTATGATTTTATATTTATATTTATATTTATACACGAGTTAAATGGTATAGTAATTGCATTATTAATAATGACAAATCGGATTTTAGGCAACAAACATAAGTAAAGCATCAAAGTCCTAATAATGAAATACAATCGTTAGCTATATGCTATAAAACATCTAGAAGTAAAAACCACTCTGTAATCCAAACAGCGTAATGTTATTGTGTATTTAATTAATCTCATTACATTATTGTTGACAATGAATTCATTTAATATACAATAAAATCCTTCAATTAATGAAGCTGAATTCGGAGCTGACCAGGAAATCGTAATGAAACAACAGGATAAAGCTTGGATGGTAGCTCCCAATTTAATATAATCGAATGTTTTACGCCATTAACCGTAAATGCGCAAGTTCTTTTGTTCATATCCAAATGAACGGTAACTTTGCTATTATCCTCTTCAAATGGAGGACAATAAATTGCCCCAATTACAGAATGAAGGATTGAACCCGAAGTACCTAACATCCATCCAGAATTATATCCTGCAAATTTTTCATGGTCAAAATTTTCTGTCGTACACACTCCAACCCAGGCCAAGGCGCAACGTTTCTCAATAATGACATCCCACTCAAAATTACCTTTATTTTCTAATGCTATTTTAGCCCTGACGCTTTGATGTGAATTACACCCATTTTTCGCTCGTACCACTTTCCCGTTATCCTCAATAATAAGTTTTGATCCACAATCTGATTCATCCCAAACATAAAGGGACTTGATCATACATAATGATGATGGTGGTGCCTCTCGAATAACACCTAAATCTGTATTATTTGATCTTGCTTTATGTCGATAAGCATTTATGATGAATTCATCCGGAATAAGTTTTAAGGGTTCAATGATATGAGTCAAGATTTGGCCATTGATTCGCCTAAAATCAATAAATTTTATCAAAGGTACCAATTCTTCAGCGACTTTTTGATGATCCGGGATAAGCTCATCATCAATTGGCTTTGAATCGTCTACTTTTTCTACAATTGGTAACCGTTTCAAAAGAATTTTAGTAGCATCATAAGAAATCTGCCTTGCTACTAAAATAGCACTATACTGTAGAATTTCATATTCCGAGGCAAAGGCTTTTTCCTTTCCATAGTTACAAGTTAAAAGGTGTCGAAGTGCCGCAGCGGACAACCGACCAAATTCAATAATACCTAACGGTGTAGTTGATACCGTTTCAACAAGTAGATTTAGAAATAAATTATCTTCTGATGTATCCATCAAATCAACAATTTTTGATAACAATTCTGGTGAATAATTATCCTTGTAATTCTTTTCTAAATTATTTTTAACAGCCGTTGTAATCATATCTTGAAGGTCGAGTAATTGAAAATAATTTGCGGAGATATAAGCCTCGACAATATTATCTTTGGTTAGGGAATCTTTAATCGTTCCTGTATAAATATACTCCAACGTGATTTCCATTCCTGTAGAATCAATTTTTGGAAAAGTAATTTTTATCGAGCGTCCTTTCAATCCATTGTTAAGTAGTGAATAAAATACATCAGATCTTGCGGATAAGATTGCACAACTTCCATGTAAAGTAATTCCATCCTTGCACAATATCTCTACATCGCTATGCTTTGGATTGTTAACTAATATCTTCAAGTCTTGTCCTAGTGAATATCCTCTCGTCGTTATTGTGTTTTTAGTATATTTTCTTTTTTTAGAATGCATTTGACGATTCATTTTGAGAGAGAGTAATTTAGGAAATGTGTAACTTAAAATTATCAAATTATCCTTTTGTTTATATTCGAAATTGTGAGAATATGATGATTCAAAGGAATTTTAAGATGTTACATATTCAAAGCCTTCATGAGCCTCCAAATAAATAAATGTGATTTGGGGCTCAAAAATATACTTGCATTCATTAAAAGTCGAACACGATTTTCGAACAACGCATAAAAAGTGTGGCAGATGATTTGTTGGCAGCGCCTTTGAGGCACAGCATTTATGATTGGTAAAAAGTTACCTCCCATCAATGATCTAAAAAATTTATAAAAATTAAAATAAATTGTTCTTAAACTTCCTTTATTCAGCGGTTAAAAATGATATCATGCTTGAATCAAATCGTAAATCGGAAAGTTTGCCGGGAAAAACCAGAAAGTATTAAACGCGATTTTTTTTTAGAATTCATACAATGAAGCACATCTCTAATTATAATAAAAATGAGCATTATTTTTTATTTTAATAAAAATTAATTATTATTTCTTGCTAGAAAAGCATCTATCTGTTCCAAACCAGATATTACTGTTTCTTTAGTTTTTCGTCTTACAACATCGATTAGTTGCTATAAATGTTCCACATAAATCAATACAGTGATCACCTCTTGTCCAATATTTGATGCAAGTTTTGTAATTTGCTTAATAGCGGCAAGAAGTTTTTTGTTTCCTTTATAAATATCTTTTCAAAAATACTTTTTCTAACATTTTATCGATTCGTAACTAACTATTTTATATGAATCTCTTTAAAAAGAAAAAATAATAACGATTGATCCAGAGTTGTAACAGTAAATAAAATTACGATAAATCTGCAAAACGGTCAAAAGAGATTAGAATATTTATTAGCAAGATAATTACTTCGACTATGGTAAGAGTTTAGAGGTTAGTAAGCTTGACCCTTGCAATCTCGCATTTTTTGTTGTATTACGGTTCAATAAAAAGTTTATTTCATTTTACTTATCTCATTTTTTGAAGTTGCGATATTTTTTACGATTAATATTTTTTTTTAATAAATAAATAGATTTAAACTGTTTTTTTATTTGTATCGCCAATACCTACAAGCCCTTTTATTTATTATTTTCTTTTTATATAATTTTTACGCTATATACTATTGCTACTTTGTATCTTAATGAGAAACCAATATTCGTTAATGACATTTAAAAACCTTAAATTGGTAAGGCTAATTGAAACCATAATTCCTTTTTGAAATTTCAGAAAACCATTTGTCCTTTAATAACTTGAGTCTCAAGTTCTTTAATTTCTAC